GGGAAGGAAAAGGGGTTTTGAGCACTTTGTCGTCTTTTGGGGGAGAAATGGGAAAAATGTGCTGTTTGTGTAACTAACTCTTGTTAAAACAGCCTCTCTAGTCGTGTTGAGTGGCTCAGCTTATAGTCTTGGCGTGACTGGTTTATTTCTTGGTAACGCTTTGCTGAAAGAATGGAGGGTTGCTTATTCTTTAAAAGGCTGGCTTTCTGTTTGAGCAAATTTATCGATAACGTATCTATGTAGAAATTCTCTTTTGACAAGTTATTTTGTAAAAGTTATTTCAGGAATTAAAACCTGCATATTTGCGTAGTCATGTTAATGGTCTATCTGTGATGTTTAAGGCTTTTATGTGTAGTTACTGACTTGCTGTGTGAAATTTCTTTCTGCATTTTTGAAGTCTAGTCGAGATTTTTATAGAAGACTGACGCCTCAGAGGAGTCAAACAGATTTCTTTTTACAGGGGCTGTTCTTAATGATGCTTAATGTATTTGTTTTCTTTTGACAGTATTTGTTGATGACAGAAAGGCCTTCGTTGTAAAAGCTGATAGCAAGATATGGCTCACTTTCCTTCTGGGTAAGTAGAAGGAATATGTCAGGGGAAAATAGTGTTCTTTTTACCTTTCTTTCTCTGGAATTGTAAACTGTATCAAAATGTATTTGGAAATATGACTTGGAAAAAAAAACCCAAGCCGTAGCTAATGTTGAAAAGGGACAGTAAATAACTTTCTACCTGGTAAGTTTTGTAAAGCTGTTATTTTAGCAGTTGATGTGGTATCAGAACATTTGTAGGAAAATAATTGTCCAGATATTTATGAATCTCTCCTATCTAGTCATTAATTTCTAGAGGGGAAAAAAAGCACAGCTCATTAAATAATGTAATCAAAACAGCTCTTTTTGTAAGGATTATGTGTGCAAGACCATACAACTGTAGGGGTGTGTAAATTCAGGCGTTATTATCTCTGGGAATATTTTGGAATAAATAGTAAAATGACTAATGGCCGAAGTCTTGGAAAAAACACCTCAAATATTTGCAAAATTAAGTAAGACATGCATTCCTAAAGTTAACAAATGTTAAATAATAGCATATTTGTCAGATGCGCAATTAGATACGCTCTTAAAGGTATTATATTAAAAGACTGTCAGGGTGTTCCAAAGATACTGGTACTATTAATCACACCACCAGTAGTCCTTGTTGCCAAAGGGAGTTTCTTCAGTTTGATGAATTACATTGCAAAGTAGTAGCAGGGAAACAACCCTTAGCTTGCAAACTAATTGATGAATAAACTGTGCCTGAATTGCTTTGCTTACCTTTGTTTATTCAGCATTTCCTAGACTACTAGTTATTTAAATGACATGGAAATGTTAAACTGATGGTCAAAGTTGAAAAAATGCTTTCATTTGATTAGAATTTGAGAGTAGATTAGGTAGAGAACTGTATAATTTCTGGAGTTTGAATTTGACTGTGAAACCCAGATAACCAATTAAATACTTCAGGGAGCTATTTATATTTTTAATAGGAGCAAACCCTTAATAGCAAAGTATGTAATAGCATACAGTATTTGCAGTAGCAGGGAACATACATATACTAAATATGAAATAGTGTTTTTTGTTTAGTTTTAGTGGTATTTGAATTTTTGCTGTTACTTCAACTTTAAAGTCCAGATTTTAAAAACAGAGGCTCCCACAGTTGGAGCTAGTGTTGTTAAAGGGTGTGGATTTTTTTCTGTTAAGAATTATCTCCAATTTATGTGCGACAATAAAGTTGTGAGATTTTCAAGGACATTCTTATACAACACTTTGCCCTATTATGTTGGGTTTTTTTAATATAAAAATGACCATTGAATTGAAGCCTTATTCTTGAAGACATCCTTTCTACATTGCACAGAATCGCACAATGAAACGTCTTGACTAAGTTGCAGAAGTAGTCAATGCTTGCACATTCCTCATTGCTCCCAGTTTTGCTGTATTCCTACCTAGTCACTTTTGGGATACTTGCAAAGTATTTATCAGTTTCTAGTATGTTTCACATCCTGTTGCATTACAGTATCTCAGCATTTGTGGTTCTCTTGGTAAATGAGTTCTGTATATTATAGCTTTATTCTGCAGTATTTAATTTCCGGAATTAGAATGCTTTTTATATGCCACTCATACTGCTTTTCTTGGAACAGAACACAGGCAAAAATAGGAAATCTGAAAAATATACATGATAGCCCCGGTCTGCGAAAATCTGATCATATGCTTTGCTTTTGGGGATTCTTAGGTTGGGTGAGAAAATGCATCTCCAAGTTGAAGTACATAGTAGCTGTATAAGTCTTTGTAGCATTAGGACTGGTATTCCTCTCCTGTCCTCTTCTTCATTCCCTCCACAGTAACGACATTAATGGGATCATAGGAAGGTAATTTAAGAGAGCTGATCTGCATGTTTTCCATCAGAAACTAGCTTAATGTAAGTCTGGATGCAGTCTGTTGAAAAATGTCGATTTGGACTCATAGTGTAAGTCTATGAATTAAGCGCATTGTCTCTTGAAATGTGAGCAATTATATGAATTGCTGTGTGATTATGAAAGGTCTTTGTTTTATACTTGCAATAGAGTGATACTGTGAAGATTTATAAAAATGTGTATGAAATTCTCCAAAAAAACTGTGAATGTATTTACACTTAATGTATTGACTTCAAATAAAACATTTACTGAAGGGAAGAATCAGATTTAAATATATTATTTTCTCTATGAAGTAAGTGGTATGTTTGAATCTGAAGTGTAATTTCCATATTAATACATAAATTACTTGCAATGGTAAAATACTGCCTATTGGCTTATTTGGAACGACATGAATTTGAGATTATGAACAGTACTGGTAGCTAATATGCATTTACTTTGCCTTTACCGTATATTCTTACCTAACATGTAATCTGTCTTAAAACTGATTTTTTTTTTTTTGTTTTTATAATTGGGGTGTGTGTGCATATAAATGTATTTCAGCATCTAATTAGGAATCTTATTGGGAATCTGAGAAATGTTGCTGAGAAATGAAATAATGCCTTGTCCAATTGTGAGACAATAAGTAGTAACTAAGAAGGGTATGGACTGATGTGTTTCTTTTCATACAATTACTGCAAAATGTGTTTGTTATGGAAAATGGTTTGCTGTGTTGCTGATACAGCTAATGTGCTTACCTGGAATTCCATATCATATCCAGATCTGCTCTTCTGAAAGAGGAATTTGCAGCTTTCCATGAGAACTAATGTAAATGTCCTCGGTATAAAAAAACCTCTGCAGCTCCTGAGGCATTCCGAAGACATTAAATTTCCCTTAATGACAACTATACTGAACAATTCTTCAATGATCTTTTTTTCTAGAAAGTATACGTAAAAATGTAAAGTTTTAAATGAGAGCTTGTGGTATTCATTTTCTAACTGAAATCCAGGCTGCTTTATGAGAAAACTACTTCAGTGACTGAAGTGGAGCTGAAAAACTCTTAAGGCAGTTTCAGTGTGGTATTGTACAACCTGAACTACTATGTGAAGTATGTAACTTGAGGTAAATGTTAAATTGTACAGGCAGCTAGTTCAGAAATTCTTTTTCCCTTTAGGTAATTGTTTTTTTTCCTATTTTTTTCTGTCTTACTCAGTTTCACCTCACACATTACTGTACACAAAACTTTAATATTAAAATTTAGGTTCATAATTGTAGTTTGTTTCATTATGACCTCTGGTGACAATGATAACAAGTACTGCCAGCAGCAGCATTGTGGTGACAATGATAACAGGTACTGCCAGCAGCAGCAGTACTTCCAGGCCCTTTGTTGGAGAAACGTGTGGTTTGGGAATATATACTAGGGCATGAAGCATGTATTCAGACCACTCCTCTTCCACATAAATTTAGTAGTTTTGCAAAGGTGTTTTTCTTTCTCTTGTCCCCGCTGCTTTCCAGAAACAGACCGCCATACACATGTAACATGTGGTCCAAACACAAGCGTGTTCACTAACTCTCCGACTATGTTCTGCATCAGTGTGCAGGCATTTGATATATGTTTTACCTATGTGCAAGCAACCTGACCCATTCCGTGTTGTCACGGAGGTGAGGGCTGTGCCTGTCGGAGGTGTGTGCGGATCAGCACCCTGGAGAGGGACACGGTGCTCAGCACCTTCCTGGCTCCCTCTGGGTGCAAGCAAGGGGGGTGGTTGTCCTCTACACTTTTTCTCTGCTCCCTATAGCCTATGTGAATAAGAGGGCTCTACGTTAACCATGGCAGAGAGCCACTGTGTGCCTGGAAGGTGACCAAGACACCTTCAGTCTAGAAGGAGCACCGTCGTCCCTCTAAATGCCTGCCCTTTATCCCTCACTCATGCTGGCTTTGCTTCTGCGGTGAGCTCTGGGTATGTTGTGAATGCTGCCTAAGCAAAATGGAGTGGCTTCTGCTCTCTGTGGATCTTGTCATGCTCAAGAACTCAGAGACCTAGACTGTGTACCCACCTCATTATCATCATTTGTCTTTTCCCTTTATCCGTCAAATTATCTCCCTTGTTCTGTACCTACATGACAACAGTGCAGATAGTCTCCAAATGGACAAATGGAATGTTATTACATGCAGAATCTATCTTTTTTAGCAATTATAGTGTCAATTAGATTTGTCTTGGTTGTGGTAGTCCATTTGAATCTCAGATTTACAGGACAATGTACTCTGTAAGTTAAACTTTATTTTATGAGCTCATTAGGAAAGAAAACAAACAAACGTGACAAACAAGGGCTCAGTCTGCTTTGTACAGACTAGTCTAACATGGGAATTCACTAATTAATCACTTAAGGCATGAGATTTCTAACTGTGTTATTAGTTCTCTAATACACGAACTTGTAACTCCTAGCTTGTGCACCTGTGAGCACAAACAAACGTGACAAACAAGGGCTCAGTCTGCTTTGTACAGACTAGTCTAACATGGGAATTCACTAATTAATCACTTAAGGCATGAGATTTCTAACTGTGTTATTAGTTCTAATTAGTTATTATTACACGAACTTGTAACTCCTAGCTTGTGCACCTGTGAGCAAAACAGTTCCCTAGCCTATGGTGGGAGTGCTTATCCGTCCTCTTCCATCACGGTGCAGGTGTCCCCTGTATCACACCAGGAAGCACAAGAGTCTTAGCAGTCCAGCTGCTACTGGATCTGCTTCAAAAACATTTTGGGTAAGCTGATGTATTTATACCTTCCACCTTGGAAGTTTGGTCTATACCATTTCCATGAGTTAACAGATTCTGAAGAAACTGCCAGGCAATCGATATGTGAAGATTATGGCTGTAGGAGACAGCAAGCTGCAGGTGATAATGGCTGCTCTTTCTGGCCACTGTGTCCTGCCTATGTGTTGTCCTTGCTTTGACCTAACAGTGCTGCTCCTAACATATATCAGGCTTTAGCATGAGCTGTGTGTTAGTCAAAATGTGAGCAGGAGTTAAGTCATCAGTCACAGTAGGTATGTGAAAGATGTTTAAAATATTTATGCTTATTAAAAAATGCTTATAACTCATTTTTCTTAGTGGTAGCTGAAATGGGTGGATTAGATTCTGATGGATCAACTTGAGTGATGCAGGACATGGGTGAGAATACTGCTTATTTTGTGAATACCATCAGCATAACAGCAGATTTTCAAAGAACTGGCCATGAAAGTTAATTCACACGTTCCTGTTCTTCTGGAGGCTGAGTACCTTCCGTGCATCTCTGAAGTAGTATGGTAATGAGTTTAATGAACGTGATTTCATGTTCAGTTATTTAAATATTTGAGTAACTTGACGCCTTTTGTTTCCTTTACAGCTGCTTTTGCAGGAGTCCTACATTGGTAAGATTAAATTTATTGCTTGAGAGTCATACGGTATTTTAAAATAATAAAATTATCATTTTGACTTATATCTAGACAAGCTGTTGGGATAACTTATATTTAGATCTTTCATCTCAAAACCAAATTGTCTGTAAGATGAATAATTCTGTTCTTGGGAAGCTGATGTGAAAGGTTTCTTAAACCTGTTCAGCAAGGAGTGAAACCTCCTTTCCATGTGGAAAATTGTTGCTTAGCTATACAAATTTGGGTGCATTTGCACTAACAGACCTTTTTATTCTCAGTGCATTTGAAAGTCCAGGTAAATCTGTTCAACTTTCTCTTACATGATGCTTATTTAGATTCTGTTTTAATTTCTTAGTTTTACATCATGTTTTCTCTAACCTCTTCAGAGAAGTCTGGCCAGTGTTTTCTTTGTGTATAGAAGAATGGCCTTTCAGCTACTTTTTGTCAACATAATCCTTGTGTTCCATGTTCCGTCCTAATCCTCACCCTTCTTTTTTTGTAGTGTAGACTTGAAATAGAATGGCTTCTGTAGTGATTTTCAACAGCTGCTTTTGCAGAGATAAAAAGTAACAGCTTCTGCCACTCTGTTTTTTGTTTCCTAGCTCAAAAAGAACTATTGATTTTTAGTTGTTTGTTTCTTGCAAATTCCTATTCAAAAGCAGAGTCATGTGCACTGCTCGGTTTCTTTCTTTTTCCATCCTTTCTGGAGATGAAGATGCTCTTGGACATTGCAAGTTTTGCCTCCAAAATGATTTGCATTTTTCCTGGCTTTTTTTTTTCTGCTGTAGTTGCACCTTTATTTAAATATACTTTTGATGGTAAGCTCATCTATATATAATGGCAGATAACTGTACTAAAATACAAGTCATGAAAGATTTTTGTGGAAAAAACATACGCTCCTTGTTATGTGCACCGTTATTTTCACCAGTTTTTAATCTGTGATTCTTTTCATTTGTCAGATATTTACATTTTCTTTCCTAATATGTAGACTTGATAGTTTTAATAGCATTAAACTTATGATCCATAAGCGTCTGCACTTAAGTTAAAATACATTAGAGTATTATAACTAATTCCACAGTAGAACTTAATAAATGCTGTGTGAGTTCATATTTTTTCCATGTAAAATAATCTGAATAGAGGAGAATGTTGGTATGATAGATGAGTAAATTAAAATAGCAGCTTGGAAGTAAACTTTGGGTCTTCATTGAATTTTTTTTGTCAGCTGCTCCTTGGTATATATGACTTAGTACAGGTTCTAAAACTCTTTATTCAGTTTTAACTTTTATTTTTTAACAGGTGTCACATAACAACTCTTTTCGAAAATGACCGTCATTTTTCCCACCTGTCAACGCTAGAAAGAGAAATGGCTTTTCGCACGGAAATGGTTCGATTATGTTTCAATAAAAATTCAGTGATTGGAAAACTTCTGTCTGTAATCTTGTGATTGTGGGCTTTCCAAAATTTCTTAATACCTTCTGGATAAGTAAATACATTGATATCTTGCAGCTAACATGTGTTACACTTTTACATGCAGAGCATTTGTGTGTCTTGCAGCTGATCGCTGTGAATGTATTTCTTCACAGTTCACTTAAAATGTAATTTTAAAGTATGATTCTAGAGGACCTAAAATACAAAACTGCAAGTACCTTGTAGTTTACTTTCCATTATAGTCTTGTTATGCGGCCTTTTAAAAAACTTTTTTTAATTAATAAATGTTTGCATACGTATACACCTTTTGGCTGCTCTTTTGTTGAGAATTGCAGAGTACTATGCTAGTGCATAGTTACCAGCCCAAATGAAAGATTTTCAGATGTGCTATGAAACAAGGTGGAAGGAAAAGCATGTTGCTTGTTTCAGTGGTATTAATAGAAGAGATTTGAAAAACTGGATAGTTATCTTGAATAATTTTCTCCTATTTGTTATATTACAAAATTTGATTTAAAAATGAAGCTTGTATGTGGCAGTTCATAAAGCAGAAGTCACCTCTTTAATTGTAAATAATGATTCTGCTCTCCTGTAGGGTCTTTATTATTCCTACTTCAAGATCATTATTGAGGCACCATCATTTTGGAATGGAGTATGGGCAATTATGAATGACAGAATAACTGAATATCCTTTAGTGATTAACACCTTACAAAGGTTCAATCTTTACCCAGAGGTGAGCTATGTTTTAAAAATAATACCTTCTGATAAATCTTTGGTTTCTTTAGATTTGACTACGAATTGCTAAGAAATGTTACTTTGGAAAATGTGGTTGTAAGGATACAGTGACTAATAAAGTGTTGCTTAAGTACTGTATTTTACTTCCAGATTTAAAATGAGAAAGTTACTTCATACATTGTGATCAATTCTCGGACTTCAAGTATGTCCAATCAAATGCGAATACTTTCTAGATCTTACTATTTCATGCCCTCAAGTTGCAATCAAATTTTATACTACTTGTCTTTTTTTTATCCTTTTCACTGAAAGCATGTAAATTGCTCACATTGTGTACTTCAGGAAATATGACATATGAAACATCAGTAGTATGTGACAATAATGCCTGCAGTGATACAGGTACTGAGAGTTTATTTTGGTTTGCATTTTGTGTAGGACAATGAACTAACGCATCACAGTTTACTGTGGCCCTAAAATCCATAAATGGTAATAGTTTACTTACATGTTGCAGAAGAAATTCCTATGTAGAAGACTGCCTGCTTTTATTTTGTACTTAATGTTAGACTTACCTGGTTGGATTACATTCCTGCTCTGATTTTTTTCTTTTGTCACTAAAAAGAATGTGTCTTTAAATCAAAAAATGTTTGGTTTTCTCTCTCTTGTGGTTTTGCCAGTGTGTCTCAAACATTTTTGCAAAGGGAGAACTCCTTTGTTTAATGTATGTTTCTGTGACTTCATGTGTCAGCAACAGCTTGTTTTTTACAGAACCAAGGACTAATAATGGCTGTAATTGTTGGGTAATAGCATTTATACTCATTCTCCTACTCTGTCGGAACAGAGCTATTTTCAGGAACTGTATGTGTAAGAGTTCTCGGCACGCATGTATTTATACAGCTTGCATGTAGTGGTTTCATTTGTTTCTTAATTCCTTGCTCTGGAAGAGCTAAATGCTATAGATGAGTGCTTTTTATTACCCTCTTCCTGGTTTTGGGTTTGAATTTTTTTATTTTGTATTTGAATACTCTAAAGTTATTTTCTTTAGCTGAGAAGGATTTATTTACTTCAGCTATATTCTGACTTGCAAAAATCAAAGGTAACTGGTCAAATGAACTTGCTCGTAGAGAATCGTCAGTATCACCATGAAAGATGACTAAGCAAATTGGATGATGAAATCAAAACAAGAACAATCAGATATAGTGGCTGACATTCTGTAAGAACATTAGGTAGATTGCTGTGCAAAATGTGTAGGCTTGTCTGTTCATTCAGAGATTTCTAGGATCATACTGGCTCATAGAACTTGGTGATAAGGTATTAATTCATTCATCTTTTCTGTGCCTGTGTGGGCATGCAAAGCAGACAGATAGTCTCCTCTCCTTTCAGTCATTTGTGCTTTGTTGTCTAGCCTTCCTGTAAATATTTTTTTTTTTTAAAGTTTATTTCTTGAGTGCTCTTGTTTCCACATAACATCTATAAACTGTCAATAGGTGCAACTTGACATTTGAAGTATGTTCTCCAAATATATCTAATTTTACCTTTGATTATAATGGGGCTGGGTGGTGGGAAGATGCTTGTGGATTTATTTGTTGGCAGTGAAATTTTTCCTTCTGGTATTTAGTATCCGGTCATGTTTTCTGAAAGTGTTTCATTTCCTTTTGATATTTTAGGATCTTTGCAGCTCTTTTAGCCCAATAATAGCATTAAGGCTGAATTTTAATAAAATGTTTGTTTGTTTGTTTAGCGGATTTCACAATTAATTGCATCAAAATTAACCTTGAAATCCTGTTACTAAACAGGATGTTAAATCCATTAAGAAAAGTAGAACAATTTACTTGCGTGTACAGCCAGTACTAGTCATGAAAACTTCAAAAGAAGGAAAAAAAAAAAAAGGTAAAGAAAGTCCATAGCAGTCACTACATCTTCTGTGTAAATTATAAATATAAGCAGTTAAAAATATCTGTCGAAAGCAACAAGTCAGTCTTTGTAGTTGTACAATATTATAGTCCCAAAAAAGTCTTGATTTTCCAGGTTTTTGCTGCATAGTCAGGTTGTTTCAGTAGTTGTGGTGGTGTTTTCGTCTGTGATACCTGATGGAAAATGGCAGAGAGATAATGTGTTTCAGTTCTGTTGCGGAGAGATAACGTGGTGTTCACTCTTTGGCTCTTCATCGTTACGGAACAGTTGATATTTCTGTGTGTGGCAGTGATGATGAAAATTGGAGTGGGAGTGATGAGTGTTGCAAAGACCCGTGTACTTGGTGTTAAAATGCTTGCTCGAAGGCAACTAGTAGAAGGGAGTGACGCTCGGCCCCTAGAGATTTCCTGGGTCTGAGAGCCAGTCTTCTGTTTTCCAAGTTTTGCATTTGCTGCCTCACATGATATCGGACAGTAGAAATTCCAAAAATGCCATTGTTCTCTAATTGACCTAGTAATTTTCTACTATTGATTTGATTCTGGTTTTATGCCCATGTTAATTGTTACATGTAAAGTAGCTTTTGGCAAAAAAAATGTCTGTGTTTTGCGTGAAATACCTAACCTTTTTATGGAGTATTTATGTGTGGTAACATCTGCAGCTGACATGGGCATTTGTGACATAAAAAGGTTAAGTTGATAAATTAATAAATTTTTTTTGGTGCAGCATTGGTTCAGCAAGAGTGTTCTCTGTGCTTAGGGTAATGTCTGCTTCACAGCTGGTGGTGCAAATATGCTAGACGGATGTCTCTAAGCTGTCATATGCATTCTATTGGCAGTTTACAAACCACATTCAGGTGATAAGAGGAAAGATTTGTATTTGGTTCCCCAGTCCTGTCATTCCCTATCTGGAGATGGGGCAAGTGTCTCGTTTATATATGCACACATGCACAGTCAGAAGTGCCAGGGCACAGGTGTTCAGAAAGCCTCCAGGAATCCAGGATAGTGTACTTTTTGCAGGACACAACATTGAGGCAGGGAGTCTTGGTCTAGAAAGGTGTAGTTGTATTTTAAATATACAAGATTTGCATTGTGAGAGTGTAGAAGCCACAGATGAAATGAGTCATGATGATTGGAGCCTTGGTATTAAAAATTAATGAATTATAGCATCACAGAACAGTTGGGCTGGAAGGGATGTCTGAAGATATCTAGTCTCAACACTGTGCTTGACGCAGGGTGAAGTAGAGACCAGGTTGCTCAGGGCCATCTCTGGTTTCGAATATCTCTACCTCTAGGCAACCTGTTCCAGTGTTTGACCACCCTCAAAGTAAAAAAGGGTTTTTCTTATGTATAAGTGGAATTTGCTGTATTTCTGTTTGTGCTTTTCAGCTCTTGTCTTGTCAATCAAAAAGAGTTTGTCTTGGTCGTCTTTGCTCTATATTCTTCCTGTCTTGGGCAGCCCAGAACTGGACTCAGCACTGGAGATATGGTCTTAGCAGTGCTGAGTAGAGTGGAAGGATCACCTTTCTTGTCCTGGTGACATACAACTGAGGATACATTTGGCTTTATTTGCAACACGGGCTTATTGCTGGCTCAAGTACAACTTTTCCACCAGGACTCACAGGTCCTTTTCTGAAGAACTGCTTTCAAGGTGGTTAACTCCAGTCTGTACTGGTGCATGGTAGTGTTCTCCCTGGTGCAGGACTTTGCATTCACCTTTTGTGAGATTCCTGTTGGCCCATTTCTCTAACCTGTTGAGGTCCCTCCGAATGGCAACACCAAGTGTCAACTGCTCCTTCCAATTTTGTATCGTGTGCAAACTTGCTGAGGATGTTCTTGTGTGCCATCATCTAGTCATGATAAAAATGCCAACAGAATTGGCACCAGATTAAAAAAAGCATCCAGAGTTGTCCCCTCATCTACCAAGACAGTCATCTCAGAAGGTTGTGAAGCTGGGCAGATATGATTTCCCCTTTGTAAATCCATGCTGACCACTTCCAATCACTTTTTTGTCCTTAGCATGTTTGGAAGTGGTTTCCAGGAGGATTTTACGCCATCACATCCTTGGGTATCAAGGTGTAATTCCCCAGGTTTCCTTCTTGCCTTTCTTGAAGATAGAAGTACATAATGAGTTTTATTAATTAGATGGGGAAAGAAAAGAGGGATTCATCCTTCTTGTACATGTTTTCTGTCACACAGGGCTGAGACAGCTAATACTGCAGTGGTGAAATGTATCTCCAATCTGGGAAGCCCTGCGTTATAACTTTCAAAGCAGCTCAACTGGAATGGCCACATTACTCATTTATGAACTCTATGAAGTCAGTTATATCCTGACAGAATAGCTTAGTAATGTTAACTAGTGACTCTGCCGTGAAATGAATCATCATTTTTCTTTGTGTAAAATACTGATGTTTTCTGTGTCAGGTATTGAGATGTAATTTGGTTTTTGTTATGACCTTTGCATGGAAAATGGAAATGCTGTCTTACATTGCACCTGGAAGCCCTTTCTAATGCATGCTTAAATTGAACCTATCAGACTTTGTCTGAGTAAAAACCCTAAAGATTTGGTACGTTAATATTCTTGTCAGGTAGAAAAAAATTAATTTGCCTTAATGGATTTAATTCAGCTGTCTTTTGTCAACAAAATCTGGGATTTTAATGTCTGGTAAACAAAAATAGTTAAATGGAGAACCTTTCAGACAATATTGAATTGTATAATTTTTTCAAATATTTCAGCTTGATGCATGAAATTATTTCTGTTCTAAAGCAGGCATAATTTTAGTCTATTAATGAACACTTGGTCTATGATGCCTTTAGGAAATTATGGTCAAAAATGCTAAGTAGTTGAGATAAATTCTGAGTTTAAAAAACATCCTGGATGAGGGATGTTTGTTGTCATGAGAGGTTACCTTGGGCAATGCGCTAATCTCAAAGTTCCTTTTCAGAAACTTGAAATCCTGTTTTCCACCTAGGTGGTCCTGGCCAGCTGGTACCGCATATATATTGCCTTTATGGATTTCCTTGGTGTACCAACAAAGACATGTTGGACTGTAAACAGAGGAAAAGGGCTTAGTCCTGTTGAAAGCTGCGAGGGTGAGTTGTGTTTTATTCTAGTTTCTTCCTGGAAGCATATAATTGTAGCTTTATATATTTCAGAAGTAATAAATATTCCTGTGTCTTTATCACTGACTTGCTGTCATTTGGCTAAGCCTGTGTTTTTGGCAGGTTCACAACATAAGTGAGAAGCACAAAAAAGATACTTTTAAGAGCACCTGGGTGAGAATGTAGGCTTTGCTTATTATGTAGCTCCTCCTACCTACGTTGAATTTCTATACTGCACTTCAAAACTTTACTGTTGTATTATGAGCCTTCATAATGATGGACTGATACAAAGAATAAGATGTCCAAAATGTAGTTGGAGGGCACATGTATCAAATTTTTGTAGCTTCTGTAGAATCCCCAATACATTCCAGGTTCCTACATTTCAAAACCTTACCCTCTGGATTTCCTCCTCTAACTACAACTTCAGGAGTAGGGAGGAAGCAGAAAAAGATACAGAAAAAGCTACAATGCGTCCTTATGGATAAATCTTGTGTAGTGATTCTGCTGGGAAGAATCCCCTTCCTCTAGTGACCTACTGTTCAGCATAAGAATTTCAATCTTACATGTTAAGTTGAATACCAAAGCTTGGATGCTGCCACTTTTTGTTTGGGTTTGTTGTTTTTTTTTTTTTTCACATTTAAAGTATTGGCTTGTCAAGTAAGTATTATGCAATAAAAATACCTTGCCGAGAAATGCTTTAGAGATGTTCTACAGTCTGTTAAAGCTGAATGATAGATGGTAGCTTGTGAAGTTGTTTCATTTTATCATTTAAAATGTCTTTGTGTGGTGACAAGTTAGCATTTTTCCTTTGCACAAAGGCAATAAGAACTTTCTTCAGAGCTTGAATGATTCACTTTCTCTAATTTTGTCAGAAGCAATAAACAGTGAATAAAGGTATAACTTTTCATTCCTGTTTTTTTGTAAAAACAAAACCAAACCAACAAAAACACCAACTATTGAGACTACCATGGTTGGTGAGCATATAATCATGTTACTTTTAGAGAACTGTCTTGCTGTGTTTTCAGCAGTGGCAAATAATTATTTCTGCATATGAAACTATCAAATTTTGCTACCTTCTCTGTAATGAATGAGGCTTTTTATGCTGTACTGCTGAAATTATTAGAGCCAGCAGGGTTTAAAGAAATAATGGGAAAGAGAATAAAACAGAAGTGTGAACACAGAAGTGTTTGTGAAACTGAAAGATTTGTGTTATTGGAAAATCTCTCAGCTTTTAATGAAACAAAGAAAGCAAAGAGCATTGTGTGTGGTATGTTTAAAGATGGATTTACTCCTGCAAGAGATGGGAAGCAGGAGTATAGGAAGTACAAACCTCTTCTAAAAAGCTCTATGAAGTCAAAACATTGTCTGTAGAGAATGTTTTTAGTGATGCTTATGCCTTCTATACATTGCAGGGTTTTCTTTACAGTTAATGCTTCCCTCTTGGCTTGTTCTGTTGCTGACTGCCACAATGCTGTGTCTCCCCCTCCTCTTTTTTCCTTTTATTTTCAGAAGTGTAGTCTTCCAGTTGAATCTCCACAATAATCTCTGACATAAACTTTTTTTTGTTATCTCTTTCTGTATGTATATTAAGGTAATGTGCTGTATTGTACTGATTGTATGGTGGTTTATAAGCAATATGATCTTTCTTCTATATTTGACAATGTGTTAACTGTTTGTTTGTTAGGGTTGGGAGACCCTGCTTCCTTTTATGTTGCTGTGATTTTTCTTTTGAATGGATTAATGATGTCACTGTTCTTCATATACGGTACATACCTCAGGTAAGGCAGTTGAGACTGAGCTATTTAGTTGGTACTAGCTGTCAGATTTTATATTAAATTTTTAAAAGTGGATGCTAAAATATCTTTATGGGTATTTCGGATTTGTTTGTACAATAGTAGTGCTTTTTATTACATATACATTGTCACTAAAAAATTACTGGGATAGAGAAGGTTGTTGCTTAAAATAAATAACAATGCCAGAAAAAGTTGTGGAAAATTCAGTGAAATGGTATCTCTTTGCTACCATGGGGTTGTAGATAAAACTAAATACTATGCAGGTTTTAAACAGCTTTTGACAGGTTTGTGCTCTTCAAATTATGAGTGTAACTTGTTTTTAAATAATGCTTGAATGACAGTATACTTTTAACCAAGATTGGAGTTTCGCAATGCTTTGCCTCAAGTCATATTGCATTTCTTTCAATTTTAATTTAGCTGGAAAGGTAAAATATTTTTTAAGATAATGCATTCTCTTGGAGACATGTATACACTTCCCTATTTCTGTGAATTTCTGTTTTCAGTATCTGTCCTTAAATTTCAGGAACTGTAATCCACTTTCATACAAAACCAGGCTTGCATTCAGCAGAAAAACAGAAGTGGAAATATTTTTTCTGTTTACCTCTATTTTAATTTGTCAGTTTTGCAAAAAAGCAAAAGACTGTTACGTTTTCCTCTTAGAGATGTGATTGTTTTTCCCCTTCACTCCTTGGCTTCACTGTCTTTTGTTCTCTTACTGCTCTCTCTGAAGCATGTGCTGATAGTTCAAATAAAGGATGGTGCAGGGCAGGAGCTGACAGTGTGGGCAAAGCATATATGTTTCTGTTTCTTAACATAGGAAATTAATGCCTCATGTTTTGAGGAAGTAGATAACCGAATATTCATATCATTACCTTTTCATTTTTCTCTTAAGGGAGGTGTATGGAAACCCACATTTTATATGTTAATGTTATTCAAAAATCAGTAAGGTCTTAATTTCTCAGTACTTTCCTCAGACTTGAGCTGTGTTGAATATAAATAACTACTGAGTATTGCTAGTAATTCAGTTTTTAATATAAATGATCTGCAGCGTAGGTAGACAAGATAACCAGAATATAAATGCAGTTCTGTCAAGGTATAAGCTGTTAGCTGTCTGGGGTTATGAAAAATAACAAGTTGACTATGAAGTTTCCTGCAGGTAGGATTTTGATCTTGTTTGTTTATTTATTCTGAAGAATATTCATAGTTGGATACCAGATCTAGATGACTGCCTAGCTATTATGGCTGTTTCAAGGTTCTTAGTCAAAGTAAGCCAGAATATTTAGGCTTTTTCATAAGGTGTGAAAAATAAAAGAACTGAATCTGGAGTAATGCAGTTCTACTACACTGAAGTAGAATAGGCATAAGTCTCCTTCATAAAGTTGATTTGTTTCTGCTATGCATTTTGAAAGGTTTTTTTCACAGCCTGACTGATTTGATAGTGGGAAACCGTCCTCTAGTGTTCTCTCCATGTTTTCATTCCTGAATTTGTTAGCAGTAATAATCTCAAGCTTACATAATTGTTTTTTCTAGGGTGTTTTTTTTTGGTCTTCCTATATGTTCATAGAATGTGTAATCCTTTTATTTCAGCCTTTACTTGCTTTTAGTCTCTTTGCAACTTTGACTAGAGATGGAAGGTGATAGGAGAGTGGAAGACCACTTTCTTATCATTATTTTCCAAGCTAGCATGTGTTGTCACACCTGTGCTCGCTGTACTCTATAATGAGCTTGTTCAAAGCCAGCAGAAAGCTAGTTGCTTTTGTAGAACTAGTTTTTTGCTGTAGGACTAGTTTTTGCTGTTTAGCTCCCTTAACCAATTTCCCCACAAGGTTAGAAGATTGCCAGACATAGGATGTCCCTGCCCTAGCACTCTGTCTATAGTGTATGGTTATGCAATTGCACTTGGGAATCTTAGATGATGCAAGCTGGTCTCAAGCCCTGGAGCATTCTCTGGTAAGATAACTGAAGCAATATGGTGATAACTGAGGCAATCTGCCTCTTTTTAGGTTTTTTTTTTTATGGACAAAGGAGTGGCATTTGGATGATTAGTACTTTATGCAATTGTAAGATTTTGCCTCCTCCCAACCTTCCCTGCCTCTCTATTGTAGTCGAGGAACACAATACTTAAGATGATTGTCAAATACTGACTTTGAGGAACTACCAGTAAATTTCCCCTATCTCCTTCTGACAGTACTTTTTCAGTATTTTGTTTCTTGCATGTCAATCAACAATGAATTACAGCATTTCCCCAGCTGACTTTAAGCTTCAGCTTATTGTACCTGGGGAGTCAAAAGACTATTATTTCATTATTCCAGAGCTGACTCTACAAGACAAAGTGTAACTGTTCAGGCCATCTGCACTTCTTTAAAAATTACTATTTATTAAATTTAGATTATTCTGTATTAAACATCAGGGAAGTAGGTTCCAATGAAATCTTCCTGAGGGTAGGAAGGCTCTACAGAGGTATCTGGACAGGCTGGATCGATGGGCTGAGGCCAATTGTATGAGGTTCAAGCAGGCCAAGTGCCAGGTTCTGCACTTGGGTTACAACACCCCCCTGCAGCACTACAGGCTTGAAGAAGAGTGGCTGGAAAGCTGCCTGGCAGAAAAGGATCTGGGGGTATTGGTTGACGGCTGGCTGAATACGAGCCAGCAGTGTGCCCAGGTGGGCCAAGAAGGCCAGTAGCGGGCTTGTATCAGAAATAGTGTGGCCAGCAGGACTAGGGAAGTGATCATGTCCCCCCTGTATTCGGCACTAGTAAGGCTGCACCTTTAATACTGTGTTCAGTTTTGGGCCCCTCACCATAAGAAAGACAATGAGGTGCTGGAGCGTGTCCAGAGAAGGGGAACAAAGCTGGTGAAGGGTCTAGAGCACAAGCCTTATGAGGAGCGGCTGAGGGAACGGGGGTTGTTCAGCCTGGAGAAAAGGAGGCTGAGGGGAGACCTCATCGGTCTCTACAACTACCTGAGAGGAGGTTGTAGTGAGGTGGGTCTCAGTCTCTTCTCCCAAGTGACAAGCAAGGAACAAGAGGAAACAGCCTCAAGTTGCCCCAGGGGAGGTTTAGATTGGATATTAGGAAAAATTTCTTCACTGAAAGGGTTATCAAGCATTGGACCGGGCTTCCCAGGGAAGTGGTTGAGTCAACATCCCTGGAGGTATTTGAAAGATTTGTAGATGTGGTGCTGAGGGACTTGGTTTAGCGGTAGTTTTGGCAGTTCTAGATTAACAGTTGCACTCGATGATTTTGAAGGTCTTTTCCAACCTAAACAGTTCTATGGTTCTATGAAGGGCATGCACTTCACCAAGTATGGTATGGGAGTTTCGGTGGAGTTATCCTTTATCTTTTATATTGGCACAGAAAGGCTTAACTACTGTATTTCCTACA